CTTAAGATATATTCTTGTTTTAAAAATCGCATATGGTAAAAACAAACTTAGTCACATTTGAACTAAGAATTATTATATTTATTTGAAAGTACCGCTTATATCCGATGCACACTTGTCACTTGTCCTTGCAATATTTATAAGTAAATTTCAGCTTCAACCAAGAATATTTTGCACTTTGTTTTAAGGATAAATTATCCTTTATCCAAAATTATTTATATTTGGTGCTATTATAAGGATAAAATATACTTGAATCAAAGCATATTTGCATTCTCTCAAGGATACTGTTTTTTCTGTGATTATAAGTATTTTGTAATAATTTGTCGTTTAAAATAACTTTGAACTATGTTTAAAGTTTGAAAGTTTCTCTTAAAAGAAAAATATTACAAAATAGTTTTTTCAAGAGATATTTAACTTTTCATATAAATTCACAAAACAAATAAACAAAACGTTATTTATTGTTGGAAAAGCATTAAAGCGTAGTTTTAATGAAGATACAAAGTGTATTTTACGGTATTTAATTTTTTGTAAAGCCGCGTATGTTAAAATGAGAAAAGAGCCGACGATTTTTTTCAGCCATTTTTATCAACACATATCTACCTCATCTAAACTACAGATCTACCTCATTAATTATATATTCTAGATATAATGAATTATTGTATATATTATTGTATATATTTAAGAAACTTTAATAATAAAATATATGAATTTATATCTTTTCTAAAACATTTATTTTATATTGATATAATTTTAATATTATTATATTATAATCTATTTTAAATATAAACGCGTGAATACTTATTTATAAGAAATTTAACAAGATAAATAATTTAAATTAAATAATAAAACAAAATATTATTGTATACGTCTAAGAAAATTTAATAATAAAATATATGAATTTATATCTCCTTTAAAACATTTATTATATATTAATATAATTTTAATATGATGTGAATAATTATTCATAAGAAATTTAATAAGATAAAATAATTCAAATTAAATTAAAAAACAAAATTATATCGGTCATTCAATAATTGTATTTATCCTAGATTTTTCACGTCAATCTTGTATATTGCTAAATTCTGTTCGTAAATGCGCAACAACGGAGAGATTTATTTTACTTCGTATTAATATAATTTTAATATTATTATATTATAATATACTTCAAATATAAACGTGAGTAATTATTCATAAGAAATTTAATAAGATAAACAATTCAAATTAAATAATAAAATAAAATTATATGTCGGTAATTGTATATTTATCCTAGATTTTCCACGTCAATCAATTTTGCATATCGCTAAATTCTACTCATAAAGACGAAACAACGGAGAGATTTATTTTACTTTAAATTAATATAATTTTAATATTATTATATTATAATATACTTCAAATATAAACGTGAGTAATTATTCATAAGAAATTTAATAAGATAAATAATTCAAATTAAATAATAAGACCAAATTATATGTCGGTGATTTAATAATTGTATATTTTCCACGTCAATCAATCTCGCATATTGCTAAATTCTACTCGTAAATACGAAACAATAACGGAGAGATTGATTCGACTTCACATAGGTATAATAATATAGTAACGCGAACGTTTCTATATATTACAATTGTTGAATAAATGCCTACTGCACGCCTGATGCACACTGCTGGAGCGAATCTTGAAAACCCAAGAGAGCGCAAAAGGGAACAGAATTTTCTCACGGTTATGACGTCAGCAACTCACGTCAACTTCTAGATACTAGATAATTCGCGATCGATTATTATTATTGTATCATCGCCCACCATTGTCCGCAATAATTAACATTCGCGTTTGGATGGCGCGCGTATCCACGCATTCAGCGTGAAAATATAATATGCAGCCCTCCTGTTGCTCGACCCGTTTTCTTATTCAACAAGCGACGACGATGGGCGGCCGTTTGCAAGCGGGTGACCTTTCGGAATTTGTGGGGGTTCGGTGCATTCTCACAATGCTGTCGCGATGATGAAACGCCGCGAGATTACGTAGTCGCGGCCTCTATCTCGGCCGAGATGCCACGATTTTCCCATAGGGTTAAGGCACCTCGCTTAACGAATCGCTCGATATTCCGAATGGAGCGTTGCATATCTCTCATTTTCCGCGATAGCGTGTGATTTGTTGTCCGCGGGAAAGAGGATGGGACAAAACACACGGGTGATCCTAGATTAAACATCCTGCGATCGCGAAAGAGAGAGAGAGATAAATTTTAACGCACACGCGTAATAGATATCGTAAATCGCGTTTTATATTCGGCTTTCGCGCAAATCCTATATAAATTACTCGCTAGTTGCTAGATGCTCGCCCGACGCTCCAATTTATATCGGGGGTAGCTTCTTGATATTCGAGCTTCATCCCCGTAATTTGTTATCAGGCCTCGTTCCTACCAAAATTTACGAGCGAAAACTCTTATACATTTTATTCCGGTAAATTATCATTCCGAATGTATATTGTTCTCTAATCGACACACAAAAGCGTTACGTGTATCGTCTGATATTGTACTAATAATTATACGAGCACTAAATTAACGATTACGCGATTGTGATTAATATATTTCTAATTGACATGCTGTTGTAATTTGTACTAATATATATTAACTATCATTTTGATGCACGATATCGCGAATTGATTTGATTTTGCACCGCTAAACGGATAGCTGATTAGAATTTTAATCTCAAGAATTATATTCGCAATTAATATTGAAATCACTAATATATTAATATATTAATAATTTCAAAATATAATTAATTATTAATTATTAAAATTATTCTTTCTAAGCTTATTAATATATTAATAATTTTAATTAATATATATAATTTGTACTAATATATATTAACTATCATTTTGATGCACGATATCGCGAATTGATTTGATTTTGCACCGCTAAACGGATAGCTGATTAGAATTTTAATCTCAAGAATTATATTCGCAATTAATATTGAAATCACTAATATATTAATATATTAATAATTTCAAAATATAATTAATTATTAATTATTAAAATTATTCTTTCTAAGCTTATTAATATATTAATAATTTTAATTAATATATATATATATATATATATATATATATATATTTTAATGATTTCAATATTAATTGCGAATATATATATATATATTCGCAATTAATATTGAAATCATTAATATACCATATTAATATATTAATAATTTCAAAATATAATTAATTATTAATTATTAAAATTATTCTTTCTAAACTTATTAATATATTAATAATTTTAATTAATATATATATATATATATATATATAATATAAAGAATTGATATAATATTAATTTACATGCTGACAGTTTGGAGGTAAAATTTTGCTTCCACCTAGTTTTCTATCTCCGACCGTGACTTTTTAGTTTCTGTTCAGCTCGCGAACTGATGTCTGCCTCGAGTCACGCTCATGTCGACCTTATCCTTTACCGCAACAACCCGTTACACGGATTGCACTGAGGCTGTGTATGTACCTGTGTTAAGTCTGCCCGATTGCGGGCTCGACAGACACTGCGCGTTATCTATTATCGAACGACACGAATCCGTACCGTGCCGATAATGATCGATCCGCGATCGAATATATGTGCGAAACGAACGCTCGTTTTCTGAACCAAGTACGAGGAACGATTATTGTTTCGCGGTAGAATTTTTATGCTGAAAAATAACGACGAGATATACTCGAGGATAACGAAGCGCAATTGCGGGAGATGAAGTGTGTGTGCGTGTGTTCGTCGGATTTAATGAACCGTTTGACGGAATCGTAACGTAAATTGCGAGTGAAGGTCAGCAAGAGATAGATTTTCTAGATATTTCAGTTATTTTGATAAATTGCTTGCGATGTTCATTTTTAAGATTATGAAGCGGATTAAAATCTAATTAGTACGATATATCGTGTAGATAAGTTAAAAATGAATATTCGAAAGTTTAATATGTGATTTTATATTATATCATTTTTTATTATATATTTTTATTATTTTATTATATTTTATGTATTTATTATTTCCTTATATATTTTATATATTTTTATGGGATAATTTGTAAGCTATATTTAACTTCTTTGTTGAAGTATAAATATATTTCGTGCATAAAGATAGTTTGCAATACGCTACTGTACATACTTTCATCCGTAAAATTAGTGTAGCAATGGTTTGTTCAAGTGGTAAACAATTATTCAAAACTTTGCCGGATGTAATCGACGGTTGCTTTCATCATAGATAATTCAAGCTTTGTCGATAAAGATCGGGTCGGAGTTAATAAGCCGTTGTCACGACGATTTGCGTAAGACAATTGGTCTGACTTAACACGCAAGACTTCCGCAGGACTTTGTACAAGGGAATTTCGGAAGAGACTTTACCGAAGCAGTACTTTCTACAATTTTATACGTCCATTGTTCGTAATAAAAAATTTAAAAAATTAAAAAATTAAAAAATAATAAATAAAAAACGAAAAAGATACACAGTAGAAAAATTTGTGTTTTCTTGTTAGAAACGATCCCCGTTAAAATTGTTGTGTTAAATATGTATGTGTTAAATTAACTTACTAAATATTACTATTCTGTTAATTGAATGTGCATCTATTTTTAATTTTACACAATAAATATGTTCTGTTTTATCAGTGACAAGATTTATCTGTTAAAATTTGCAGAAAAAAATTTTGATTTTCTATTTTATAATATAAATGGGAATGATAAAATCTAAAATTAACATATTTTTAATTATCTAAAATTTTGCATTTATTTTGTGTTAAAATATTAACACAATATTTGTGTCTCTATTTAACATATCCATATTATGTTAAATTAATACAAAAATTTATGTGGACCATTTGGGACATGTGATATCTACATGTTAAATTTAACAGAAATTTTTCAACTGTGTATAACGAGCTTAATGAATTCGATGGGCAGAGATCGGAGATCGGAATTGATGCGAAACACGGGTGAAAATAAATAAATAACGTTCTGGGTACTTTATATTACAAATGCCTCCTCTCGAAGAAGAAAGCGAATTTATTCCATTCATACACACAAAAAAAAGACGTAAGTATCCATGAGCGCACCGTGTAAATAAGAAGTATCAAGCGCGACGAACGCCGTCGTGTTATACATAGCAGCTTTAAATATGTCTATAATGTATCTGTTAAGCTCCCTTTGAAAAAGACGCCTAAGGGATGACATTCTACACCTTTGGCGTGGCGAGATTTGGAAAGAGGTGATTCTTTTTCTTATTTTTTTTTAGCTTTTCGCAGGGGTGTTTTACCAGTGACCGTGGCCGTGGCCGAGTCCGGCGTGAATGGCGGCGCCGTAACCACTTCCGTGAGCCGTGATCTTACCGGAAGGACCGGCAATCACCACCGAACCAGCGTGCGGTCCAGCAATAGCCGCGCTTCCGGAATGAGGTCCGGCGAGAACCGCGCCGTGGCTGGCCGGTCCGGCTACAACCACTCCGTGACCTCCGTGATATCCACCGTGACCTCCAGCATATCCCCCGTGACCTCCAGCATATCCCGCGTAACCGTAAGCAGGACCAGCTGCGTATCCTCCGTAACCTCCTGCGGATAATAAGGGAAAAATGATCAGCTCAAAAGTCAATATTTTTTTTCTTTATTTTTTAAGGCACGAATAATGCGGAAATATTTTTTTTTAATTGTTTCTTACAGTGTAAAATAAGAATATTATTTAATATTACACAAATTATTTATATTATGTTTGATAATTTAAAAGTTTTCATTAATCATGTTTTATTTATTTTTAAATGATTTTTGCACAAATATAATATAGGGAGCATTTATGTAATATTACATTATTTATATTTTCTTGATTAATATATATTGTTGCAAAAATACTTCTCACCACATTTGTGCAAAAATAATGAATTTTATATAAAAAGAAAATATTAATATTAATATTAAGAAAATATTATATAAATTTTCTATAAAAAAAGAAACTTGCGCTCATCACAAAATACATTTTATTTTTTAGCAATATAAGACATTCTGTAAAATGAATTCCTTTAATTACTCACCAACATGATCACCAGCGTAGCCACCGTCGTACGGGCCACCGTAGCCTTCCACGTGAGCGGGACCAGCTACGGAAGCAGTCACGACAGCTGGACCGGCCACGGCGCCAGACACGTGAGCAGGACCGGCGATCGATCCGGTCAATCGAGCCGGCCCAATTGCCGGAGCGGAAACTGCGGTGGCGCCCACGTGCGGACCCACAACGTGGGTCGCTCCCAGCAACGGTCCAGCAACGGCGACCCCGTGACCGCCGTAGCCCGCTAGACCACCGTAAGCTCCGTAAGCTCCGTGAGCACCGTAAGCTCCGTGGCCACCGTAAGTTCCATGACCAGCCCCGTAAAACCCGTGACCAGCCAAGACAGCTTCACGTCGTTCACGAGGTGCCGCGGCGACAATGGCGCATAAGGCGAGCGAGATGAACTGAAGATGCAGAATTTCAGGTCAGTCCGGAGAGAGATAGATTACCTAGTTTTTTTCTATTAAAAAAATATAAACCTAATTTTAAGGGAAAAAATGTATAGCCCTTTAACTTGGAAGCTATGGTTTTTTTACCCAAAATTAAGTTTATATTTTTTTTTATTTATAATTATATATCGAGCAATGAATAATTTTATAATTATGTATAATTATATATAATTCTATATCGAGCAATGAATAATTTTGCGCGAAGAATTCTCGATCAAATTATTCGGTTTGTCACTATGGTCTCACTGGAGCGTCTCGTTAAAAAAGCACAATAATGGAGCCGATCGCGACACGTGGATTGTCGAGGTAAAAATAAAGAGAAAGGGATAGTTCGCGCACTTCCGTCCGTCGAAACGAATACTTACGAGGGTCTTCATCGTGCCGACCGGGAATGCTTGAATGTGCCTGCAGTCGACTTCGGCAGACTTTATATACGTTTCCCAGGATCTCCGCGACCGCGCCCGCGCTTGATCCCTTCGAATCATATCCGTTGACGATGTTGGTCTCTCGTTCATTGTGTAAGAAGGTCACCGTCCGACACACCTACCCTCCTTCGGACGTAAGATCCCTTTACATGACCCTCGCCGGAAACCTCTGGCCTAGAAATTTCAGAAACCAACCTCCTTTATCTAAGCCGTAAAGGGCACCTTTAAGACTCGCTGGCTAAAGAGCACCTTTATAGACGTGTTAATCGCAAACGTCCCGTTCAATTGCTTTGCAATAAATGTTTCGAAATCCGAGATACATATATCGTATTTAAAAAATTGCTATGATTAAAATATTGTTTGATCGATTTAAATATGTAAAATATATTTATATGTAAGATGTATATATTTATATATGTATAATATATTTTTTTTATCGATTTAAGTAGATTAAGATATTTAATTTACATCTAAATATAACTTTCTTATTTCTAAAAAAATACAAAAAGAGTATACAATCGAGTCATATAATTTTTGTTTCTTTCTTTTCTTCGTCGTCTTTTAAGAATATTTCACTGGAAATTAAACAATTTTCTTTTAAGAATATTTCATTCGAAAGTAAAAAAATTTTCTCTTTTTACATACTTAATTTTATATACACGTTTACACGTCGTTGAATGAATTTTTCACGCTTTTCTTTTTATGAAAGACGTCGCAGACTTTAATATCTTCTTTTAAGTCTCTTTCATCTTTAGTGTAAAGAAGCTGGATCACAGAAGTATAAAAATAAATATCTCATGTCAGGAAATTCTTACACTCTTTTTATATAATTATAAATTTCAAACAATTTGAGTTATCCTTTTTAAATCATGCTCTGCAATGGAATCTTATGAATTCTAATTAACGTTTGACCATATTTTCCATATTAAAATAAAAAAATCACTTTTAATGTAAAACATTTTAATATTTCAATTTATCATGTGCGTGTTTATTTTTCGGACATTCCGATATTTGCAATAATTATACCGTTCAAAGTGAATTGATAGTACAATAATTACCTACATCGACTTGCTTCTATTCCGCGTCATAATCCGCTACAGTTTCGTAATCCGTGTCGTGGAAACAAAGCGCAACGCCTTACATCATCTCTTCTGTAACAAATCAGTTTCAATAAGAGAAAATGAGCAATTTTCATCAAATTGAGAGTAATATAGGTACTTCTCCGAAGAATCCGCTACTTGGATTTTGAATCTCAATTGCGTGATGCCACGTTGCAGGATAGGTCAATCGGCCAATTGAGTCATTCGGGAGAAGGGCAATCGAGCCTTAACCCCGAAGATTACAGGTCACATACAAGGTGTTCCGTAAACTCCTCGGTACATCTCTCATGGTAATTCACGATAAAAAGACATTGACGTGCAAATATTGACATGGAAAATTGATTAAAATTAAAATTATCAAAAAATTATCTTTATTTGTGCACTGTAATAATACACGGTTGAAAAATTTCTGTTAAATTTAACAGATATCACGTGTCCCAAACGATCCACAGAAATTTTTCTGTTAATTTATTATAACATAAGATGGATATGTTAAATGGAGACACAAATATTGTGTTAATATTTTAACACAAAATAAATGCAAAACTTTAAATAATTCAAAATATGTTAATTTAGATTTTATCATTTTCACTTATATTATAAAATAGAAAATCAATATTTTTTTTCTGTAAATTTTAACAGATAAATCTTGTCACTAATAAAGCAGAATATATTTATTGTGTAAAATCAAAAATAGATGCACATTGTGTTATTTTTACATTTTTTTCAATTGTTTTAATAATTTAACATTTAAATTTAATTAACAAAACAGTAATATGTTAAATTAACACATGAATGTGTTAAATATTTAACCAAAAATTTTAGAGATCGTTTTTAACAAGAAACAAATTTTTCTACTGTGTAATATGTAAACGTATTGGAAAATATAAAGAATTAATTATGTATTATAACGTGCACGTATAATTTAATCATATATTCAGCAATCTTATATATGGCAAATTTAGGATAAAAGTGTTAATGTGTAAATATTAATATATAAATTGATTAAAGTTATAATTATTAAGAAATTATTCTCATTTATTTGCGGTAATATGTGCAAGTGTATTGAAATATGTAAAATTAAACACTGTTGTTATGCGCGCATATATCATGCATACATAAATTAATGTTCAGCAATGTTATACATAATTATGAGGACAATTTCATGCACAACGTTAAAGTAAATTTGATTATATATGCTAATTTTGAGAACCGCACTAGTCGTGAGATTGCGCACATATTTATATAACTAAACCTTAGGTCACATTCACGTATTTTAAGTGCAGCTATTTAATAATATATTATATATTATGTCTTAATTCGTCACATATGTTACAATTTGCAAACAAAGTTTTATGTAATTTTATAACTTACTGTTACCTGCATTTTACGTAACAATGAAAGTTTACTATATATTTTAAAAACCAGGTTAAAATTTGTTACAAAATTAAAAAATTTTTTTCATTGAGTCTCCAACCGCGATTAATCGTTTAATAAAATTTCCTATTTCGAGCGTTATTATATATCCGTTTTTTTTTTAGTAATAACTCTAATATGTTTTAAATACGACACGCGAAAGAGATGCCCGCCTTGTCATAAATGCAGCAGTTTATAATATGATAAAGTTCTAGGTTGAAATTTATGCAAACCCAGGTTAAAATTTGTTACAAAGATAAAAAATTTTTTTTATTGAGTCTCCAACCGCGATTAATCGTTTAATAAAATTTCCTATTTCGAGCGTTATTATATATCCGTTTTTTTTGAGTAATAACTCTAATATGTTTTAAATACGACACGCGAAAGAGATGCCCGCCTTGTCATAAATGCAGCAGTTTATAATATGATAAAGTTCTAGGTTGCAATTTATGCAAACCCAGGTTAAAATTTGTTACAAAGATAAAAAAATTTTTTTTATTGAGTCTCCAACCGCGATTAATCGTTTAATAAAATTTCCTATTTCGAGCGTTATTATATATCCGTTTTTTTTGAGTAATAACTCTAATATGTTTTAAATACGACACGCGAAAGAGATGCCCGCCTTGTCATAAATGCAGCAGTTTATAATATGATGAAGTTCTAGGTTGCAATTTATGCAAAATGAGCAAGGTGAATCGAGATGCGGGCTGGGAAAGAGCCCGCGTTCTCAGAATTAATGTGCTCTTCAATGCGCACGATATATAACCGATGAAGCCAACCGACATCGCGCATTCGACCTTTAACGGTGCGATGAAAGATGCTCGAACGCTCTAATTCCACGTGAATATCACGTTTCTGGTTAGAATTACGAAAAAGACCGTGAGAGCTTCTGCGCGTATTCACATATCTGGCGGAAAGAAATATTTCTCGCGTATATAAAGAGATATCTTTCTTCTGTGATATTATTCGTTTTATTCTGCAATGTTTTATATCATTTATTTTCTTGCAAGTAAAGTTTTCATGATATTTATACACATCGTTATATATATATTAAATGTTACATTATAAAATTATTTAACGCGTATGAAAATATCTTAAAGAATTTACGTAAGGAAATAAATAATATAAAAAATAATTATTATTGATGCACAAATTGAAAATCGCGCAGAAAAAATGTTGAAAGATCGCGCAAGAAAATATATACGCGCTGGCAAGTTAAGAAGGCGCTTTGAATGCGTTGCTGAAGGATCGAATAAAGAGAGGGCGAGTATCCGCGAAAAAGAAATCGGAAATTCGACCTTTATATAAGCATGATCCTTTCCTCTTTAGTTGCGCTATAAAACGCTACGTGTCTGTAAATGTTTCACAAAGCAGTTGCGCCGCCGTATGACTTTATCCGCAGCATCACGTTCTGAAAATTCGTACTTACGCGAAGCGATTGAAGGTGGTACGGTTGCCTCGCCGCGCGATTGAGCGTGATCAATGTTAATGGTGAGACTGACATTTGCAGTCATTGTCTGCGGCGCAGTAGATACGGATGCAATGCAAGGCAAGATGTTTATGGGAGCATGCAACCTACTCGCCGCTCTGCGTGAGACCACGAGAAGTTGCCGAAGTTCAGTCCCTTTAAAGAAAAAAAGAGGAAAGATTACTATAATTAGTTATAAACATAATTACGAAAGTGTCTTGTAATTGCGCTTCAAGTATTCAGAATTCTATTTCTTTCTCCCTTTTTTTATTTTAGTAGGAAATATAAATATATTTACAAATAAAAATAATAATAAATATAAAAATAGACAATAATAATAACAATAAAAATAATAATAAAAATAAAAGTAAATATATTTTATATAAATTATTAATATTTTTTTATTATTTATATTATATTTATATTATTTTGTATAAATGTTTTTGAAAAAATTGTAATGTCTTTCTACAAATAACTTATATCTTGTTAGTATGTAATATACATTTGTGAAGTCTTTTCTATAAGATGAAAAGTTATATGAAGAATTCTTTTCGAGTTGACCTTGATCGTAAAAAGGGGATGACCTTATAATACTTTGTGAATAAATTCTTCTGGGAAAACGCGTGCAGAGTATAATCGTACACCCCCGAGAGTGAAAGGACCGCGCCTCTCCGCATCCGGCATTGTGTGATAGGCTTCCATCTCCTCTGATTATTCTCTGACGGTCGTCGCGTTACGAAAGGCATATCTCTATGACACAACTTACGACACTTTGCAACATCATAGACTCGCTTATACTTTCCTCCTTCTTCGTGTTTTCATGTGATTGTCCAGCCTGGAAAATTATATCAGGCGCGATCCGCGTACGGGTTAAATCGACATTTCTTATTTCATGATTTATATATGTTTGAGAATAATCTTTGAACACAGAAATATTTTTTTATAAATGTTTGAATTTATTTATAATTTTTTATAGCAAAATTTATTATTTGTATTAAAAATGTATTAAAATGGGATAATGTATTTATGTGTATCTATACTGCCTATTTATTAGGATTTTCTCGTTTTATCGAAATATCATTCATTAATAAATCAGAAATTTTATGCAGAGTAATTCTACTTAAATTGCTTTGAATAGATAAATAAATTTAAAAAAATAACACTATAAATATGTTTTATATAATTTCTATACTCATATATTCAATATCACGGATTTGTCAAAAATTCTTTAATGGATAATTAGATAGACAATTATATGTCACTAAAAATTAAAATTTAATTCTGTTTGTATAAAAAAATAAAGAGATTTTATTATTTAAAAAATCTATAGAATTTTATCCATAGAATTTTATTCTAGGATTTCACATTTATCTTTCGAAGTATATATGTATATATATATATATATATATATTTCTATTTAAAAATATATATAACTTTTGGACGGTCAGCCGTGGAAATCGGTGGACTATGTTATTTCCGTCCTATGGAAAAGTAGAAAAGAGCAAAAGAAAGTCGGAATAAAAAGAGAAACACGAGCATCTCGATGCATTCGCATTTCATGTTCTCTACCACATCACCAATCGGTGTTCCAGTCAGATGAGGTTTCATTTTATTCCGAGGCTTATATAGCACGTGTCTGCGTTTTTATAAATTTTATTTTTCATCCATTGCATTGAGAAATGTAAAAACAGTTCCCAATATGCTCGGCGTATTCAGAAAAGATTTACAATTCTTTCATAAATGTTTTACAAAAAATTTGCAAGACTTCGTTTTTTTAAAACTTTTATCCGTGATAAAATAAATCAAAATTCTCTCACGTCTAAAAATAATTTTTTATTGAAAATTTTATTTATTTCCCAATTATCGTATTTATTTCGTAGAAGATTCTTCTGATGTTCAAACTAATAATTGTTCGCTTCTGAAAAGAAAAACCATTATTACTTAATTCCTTTAATTTAATTATCATTGTTAGTGCATTATTATACCCGGCTATTTATATTAAAGCTAATAGAGAATTGAGAGAGATGATTCGTGGATCTCTTAATCTCTTGGAAAAGATATATAACGAGATACTCTAGATTATATTAATGTATCTATATAGATATTATCTTGTTCTTTAACATAAGCATTTATGTTTAAAATAGTAATCACCCAGAGATAATAATAATAATAATGCATTAATATTTATATCGAATTTATACATATTTCAATATTACTTTGAACACTTCGAAGATGCAACTTTTTCATGGAACAGGGACAAGTACTTTTTTGCGGTTTTAATGATCTATTAAGCGCACAAATTAAATACAATGGTAGAACTTTAAAACGAGTCGTAGCCAGCTCTTTTAACGGACATTAGCAAAACAAATTTCTTTATTAAAGCAGATTAACGCAACAGGCGGTCCATTTGCAATCTAATGTTTCTTTAAAAGACGGTTTCTGATCCTTCACGTTCCTACTTTACAAAGTACGGGACAATTTAATGCTGAATATAACGAATAATTCAAAAGATATTCAAATACATTTCATTTTTAACGATATTTGATGATAATGTCTAGAAAAATCGCATTTTGTTCATTAGAATATAAGACTTGTCGAACATTTATATAAGATATAGATAAACTAATTTTATTTTATAACATATTTAATATAATACTTTAGTACTAATTATATTTTTTATTTTAATTTAAGAGACGGCCTAATTTAATGCTGAAAGAGACATATCTGAAAAATATACTTAAAAACTAAATAATGTATAATTATATATAATGCTTTAAATATGTAGTTAAGAATGCTTTAATAAGATGCCATTATGAATATGAGGATAATAAGGACTTTTTCATATAATGAAAAATGTATGCATTATAAATTCTTTGTGATTATTTTGTTTAAATATATAATTCGAAATAATATAAATTACGTTCATTAATCTTTTGATCAAATATCTATACGCTTTCATTAGACTCGCGCGAGACTCCATACCCCACACATCTATCACGCTGCGCGGCTCGCGCGAAACTGATTCTCGTGCGAGGTATCGCGAGCGCGAAGTTGAGATCACGTGACCCTGGTCATGTGACCACTGGTCATGTGACCATCGGTCCCACGCTCGCGATATCCCGCACGAGAATTAGTTTCGCGCGAGCCGCGCAGCATGACGGATAGGGGGTATAGAGTCTCGCGCGAGTCTAATAAAAGCGTAGATATTTGATCACAAAAGATTCTTGTAGAAAATTTCATTTCTTTGTTTGTATTTTTTGTTAAAGATTTAAATATTGAATTTTTATGCGTTGTATTGTATAATTAATTAATATATTTTTATGTATTGATTGCAATAATAATTTTATACATGCGTTGCAATTTTTAAGATTTTATTATCAAAGAATAATATAACTTTGCTTTGCGCATGTAATTATATTTGAATAAAATAAATAAAATGAGAAAAATGTATAAAGGGATATATATATATATATATATATATATATATACAAAATAATTCTCAAACAATACAATAGAAATTTAGCAAATTAAAATTATGTATATAATAGAAATGCAATAAATTAAAGTTATATACATAATAGAAATTTGACGAATTAAAATTATAGTCATAGCATCAAGCAGCGTCATTGCGAAGATGAACAATCGGACAGTTGTAAAATAAACAATAGAAGCAATATCGAAGGAGCGCGCAAAGCGCGCGATTGTATTGTCTAGTATATATAAAATTACTAAACATTAGATATTAGAACATTCAGTGAAGAAAAATATAAAATATATGTAATAAATTTTTATTGTCTCTGTTTCACAATATATATACATAAAAAATTTTAATCCTGTTATATAAAACTTGATACTTACAATTGCAAAACAGACTTTCTTCTGCAATAATTAAGCTCGATATCTAACGTGCATTAAATAATACATAACTATAAAATAAAGAGCAAATAAATCAAATTAATAAAGACATTTAAATTAATATTAATTAATTATTAATGTTAATTCTTACCTTTTTCTTTTTGGTATACTTCTATAGCAGTAGTAATTAATTAATTTTAGTGTGTATTACTATTTCTTTTTGATTAATTTATTGAATGCCTTAAATTAATCCAATTAATCCAAATACTACAATTAATCAAATTCAAATACATTAGATAAATATATTAATTTTTACAATCCAAGGGAGAATCTGTATAAAAACTCTCTCTCTATTTGACATGATTCTTAAAAATTAAAAGAATAATAAAAATTATCTAATTTAAATTTGCAGAATATTATAAATTTTTAATATAATTGTAGTTTAATTGAACACAACAATGAATAAATTAATACACTTGTCGTCACTCTTGTAATAATTTTTAATAATCAAATTTTAATTAAACAATATCGGACAGCTAATGATAATATTGTAAGATGGAAGGCCAATAAAATAAGCTCTGAAATCCAAAGGAGCAAGTAAAGGAAGACATTATAAAATTTGCAACTTGGGAAGTGTGTGTGTTTGATAATAAACGAGAAATGAGTTTTAAATACTGATGCTTTATTTTATATAAAGTATTGTATAAATGTATAAACGCTATAAATATGTGGTATCTATCTATGGTGGTGGTGGGGTGCTAGTCGTGATCGCAAAGAAAGGGTATGACGAGGGCGGACGGGGTCGGTGGCCGGCGGCGGCGCGCCGTCTATTTACATTCATTCACTCACGAAAAAAAGGCTGACCTACCATAATCTACCGGTCTCTCCTTTTCACTAACATATAACACGATTATATAATATATGTGTATAATTGTATGTTGTATATTTATATATACGAAATACACATATATATAGTGTATGTGTGTGTATGTACGTGAGCGCGCGTATGTGTGGCAATGTGTTCATATATATATATGTGCGAAAGTAATAGATAATAGTATGTATACATATATATATAAGAAAAACATATGTGCATGGACGAGTATGTAATAATAATATGTATGCTGGGGGAGGAGAAAGTGCGGCGGTAAGTATAACAACATGCGGGAGGGTGCGCTTGAGGACGCGACCGACCCAAGAGAGAGAGAAAAAAAAATAGAGAGAAGTAGTAAATATGTATGTGAAGAGCGGCGGCCTTAACTGATGGTGGAAGACGCAAGAGAAGAAGTACTTAGCGCGCCGGAGCAACGGTAAGTGTTCAGAAAACAGAACAGATCCAGTTGATCCGGCGACTGCGAAGTGCCAAAGCTCGTCCACTTTGGCCTGGGCCCATGATGCGGCGCGACGTTAGACACGCGTGTGTGCACGGTTGGCTAGGTTGCACGCGAAATAAATTTGCAACTCGGAATATCGCGCGTGGTTGAATGACAAGTGTCGACGTTTCGGAACGAACGCGGCACGGAATTCGTTTCTCGCCTTTATATCGTTTGGCCTCCCGCCATAAGATGAACGGTAATTGACTAAATTTCGCCCGGGTTTGTAAGTAAACGGGCCGAGAGCGAGATGAAGAAACAGAGACCGCGAAACCGCGAGATTGCCGATATCTCGTTTGTTGGTTGGAGAGTGTGTCCGACCCGACACGGCGCCGTCCGTCTTTCAAATTCGCGCTTCGTCAACCTGTTTTGTATAAGTGCGTGTGTGCAATTCCGAGCGATCTGTCGATCAGATCATATCACTGGCGTCGGACGCGCTTCGACCATGTTCCGAGGACCGGGCGAAGCTTTGGGGAAGAAGACGTTGAGCGCGTTTGAGGATCGTTCGAGACCGGTAAGTGACTGTGGTAAGTTTGCCGCCGTCGCCGAGCCGAGATCGCTGGGGTCTTAAAACGTCTACCACTTGCCAATGGGCGCCGGGATGACGGCTCCATGAGCTCCAAGACCGGCGTGGATGGCGCCAGAGGGTCCGTTGATCACAGCAACTCCGGCATCACCGCCACCGAGAGCGCCACCATATCCAGCAGTACCACCGATGACAGCAATTGCGCCAGGAGCAGCGGCACCAAGACCGAGACCACCACCGAGAAGTGCGGCACCACCTGTTCGAGAAGATATCATTAGCAGAGGGCTTAAATATATTTGCTTGATAAAGAACAAAGAAGAAGTATTTATTTTAACATTGTATAATGCAGTATATATTTGTATAATCAGCAAAACTTACCACCGGGCGCGGCGTTAGCGGCAGCTCCAGAGCTTCCATCGTCACCGTTGATGCCACCAGATCCGGCGAAGAAGGCAACACCACCGTAGCTAGGTCCAACAAGGTTAGCAGTAGCTTGGGAGGGTCCAACAAGGGTAGCGGTTCCCTGGGACGGTCCAACAAGGGTGGATGGGCCGGCAGCGGGTCCTACAAGACTGGCGGGTCCAGTGCGGGGTCCACCAACGGACTTGGCTCCCTCTTGGGGTCCTACGAGATCAGATGGTCCGGTTTGGGGTCCTACGTTGGCCTTGGGTCCCTCAGCGGGTCCAATGTCGGACCTGCCGCCGATGACTCCTGCGAGAAGAGCGAGCGATCAGTCGAAATCGTTAACGGTAAAGATTCAGAGTTGTGGGAATGCGGCTACGCACCACCAGAGACGATTTGTTGAATTCCTGCAGCACCAGCCGCCGCCGCCGCACCAGCAGCGTAGCTGGCACCAAGACCACCGGATCCCAAGCTAGAGGCACCACCCTGGAGGGAGGCGGCGGTTCCAGCACCAGCGGCGAGTCCACCGGTCAGACCGGCACCACCATGTCCTCCACGTCCGGTGATGGCCAGACCGTGTCCTCCCAAACCACCATAACCACCATGAGCGATTCCGGCGCGGGCCGTCGCTACCGCTAAGCAGGCGAACACAATCTGGAAAAGAAAGAGGTACGAGATAATCGAGCGTGTCTTACGCGTGATCCGAGATAAATGCCGATCGAGACCTTTAGATGTTTAAAGATTTAAGAACGTCGAACGATGAACATTACATGATTTACGGAAGCGTTGCGTGCTGGGTGGCTATCGCCGTTACGGATCTAGATTTCCATTGGCTCGGCGCCGATTACCGAGCAACATAATTGCGGCTTTCACTTTTGATTTCCGCGAACGCGCTCGCGAGGAAATCTCCGAAATGACGGAAATACGCGGTATCGCGTGAAAAGGAAGTTTCTAAATGATCTCTTCGAGATGATCTCGAAATCTCTCGTGTCGGCTTCGCGTTGGACTTCGCGTTGCAAAATGCATAGCGAGAAACGCGCGCGAATGTTGCGTTCGAGTGACGAGATGAAATATCCGTAACCTGCGCGTTCGCCGTGTAATGTTTCGTAATCGGCTTGATAGCGCTACGATTTTTCTCTCTCCCCTCTTTCTTTCTCTCTTGCACATACATCGATTACCCTAGTCACCACACCTAATGACCGTATTAGGAAAAGAAACTCTTCCAAGGTATCCGCTAATAGGCCGTTGCACGCGCAACTCGCGTATCGTCGAAACCGTAGAAAAAGTGCAGTCGCGATTGCATAAAATCCGCGCTAGCAAGTTAATACGCGAATCACCTCATATTTCACAAGATTCATAATTAATCTGCTGATTAATTCCGATTAATTTTATTTAACGAAATTTATTGAGAATTCTGTAACTTTTGATCAATTAAAATATTTTACGAGATTCAGAATTCAGAATTAATTTTATTCAAATCGATTTGTCGATATTAATTGAAAGATATTTCACAAAGTTCATAATTAATAATCGGTTAATTAATTCCGATTAATTTTATTCAAACCAATTTGTCGAAAAATCCGTAGTTTTTTATTAATCGAGAAATTTCGACAATTCTCTAATGCATTTTCGGAAAATATATGAGATGCGAATCGGGACCTATGATTACGTCACGTCTCGAGAGATACGTTCGAATCGGTAATCGCTTTGCGGCACGTAATACGGGAAGTGGCGTTTAGAAAGGAAATGTTTTACGCGGCCGTAGACCCGTGTCGAGCAATCGACCGATCAGATATATCGGCGCTGTTACCGTGCATAACCGATATTTCGCGATCGCGTGCGAGCGGCATTAGAGACTATACGGCGTGTGTGTCACGCCCGGTTGGAGACCGGTTGCGAACTTAAATGGCACCGCGGCGGCCTGGAATTATGCATATCTAACGACTTCGCGAAACTTTCACATCCGCGGAACGTAAACGAACCGACTATCACCTAGGCTCGTGCGACGTGGCCGACCGAGCGTTCCCGCGACCTCGCGGAAAAGGATCGATCGCGTGCCGATTTCAAAATCGAACGCGTCGCGCGCGAGCTTCCGTCGACATTTTGCGAAGACATGTCTGTCGCAATTTTACCAAGATATCGTTATCGAGAGTATTACCGATATATATCGGTATATATCGGTATCAAAATATCCTCGAGTTCCGCTTCCGTTTCTTCTCTGAAAGCATCAACAAAAAATCGTAACTGTTTGATTATCCGATATATACCGATATATACCGATATATACCGATATATATCGGTATATATTGGATAATCGAACAGTTACGATTTTTATTGATGCTTTCAGAGGAGAAACGGAAGCGGAACTCGAGGATATTTTGCCGATCCAAATGATATGGGGAAAGTAACGAGTAGAAAGTGACAAGATGCATACGAATTCGTGAATGAAGATGTGCCGGGGATAGAACCGGTTCGCGGTTTACTCATTGATGATGCTGCGACGATAACCGGTTTCGTCGAGCGATGCGGTAAGATTTCTTTGTTTTATGAATGAAAGTCGGTTTGTCTGTTTACGTGAGAAAACAGCGAGAGTATCCCAACCGTGACATTGAATCATCGCGGTCGCAGTAAGAAGAAATGCAACGGTACAATGCAGACGTATTAATAGACGCGAATAGATGTTTATTATTGATCCGATCGAAAACTTCCGAACTTGCGTTTATCTCTCTCGCTTGCAAATATTAAATACAATTTCATATTAATTCTATTTCCTGCTCGACTTCAATTAAGAAGTGTCAGACTGAGATATTTAAGGGAGCGAGATAAGCAAAAGGAAACTTTCGCGGCGCGATTAACGGAAAATCTACGAGTAATATTATTAAAAGTGAGAAGTCGAAGTAATTTAAAGCTCGTTCAAAAGTTTAGAAATTGACACTATATTTATTCAGGAAGGGTTACAAATAAATATAATCCGATTTAAAGACCGATGATCGCGAAGAGAGCGACACAATTTTTCTTCAAGTAAATAATTACCGAACAAACAAACATTTATTAGAGCAATAATAAAGACGCGAGCGAAAATACGCAAATGCGAGATGAAAAATCGTAGGAAAATCCGATCTCGAGGGCGCAAAGACAGAGACTACGAGTTAAAGACACCTCGCGAACACCTCACTAATCCCGCCATGCAATACTCACAAAGGCCTTCATGTTTGGTGTGTGTATTGGGCTGATAGTCCGGTGAATGACTGACTTGGGCCGGGTCGGCGGGCTTTATATACGCCTAACTCTACTCTGGACACGCTCCACAATCACCATCCTTTCGAAAGCAAGCAAGGCGCTCCACCACCCTCTCCTCCAGAAAAACTATAATCCACGAGGGGGTCCCCCAGCAACGGTGTGGATATAGAGATTGCCGTTTGTAAAAGCCTGTATCCCACCGGTGTCTATCACGGGGATCAGCCTCCTACTTTCCTCTATACACGCTCGATTTGTACGCCGCAACCAAGTGCAACCAAGCACCACCCGGGTCACCTACGATACAACTCTCTTTCTCGCAGGCGTGGTGCTCTCGCGAGTGGTACACAGTTTGCGCGCAGTTAGCGGAATCTTTCCCGGCCGCAGATAGGGACAGCGCGCAGGTGCAGCGCCGATAACGCCAGATGATCGTCACTTTAGCTAATTGGAACCGTGATGCATCGTCGTCCGGCAATCGCGGGATGAAGCTTTTAGATGATGGAAACCGACGTTTTCCATCCAAGTTTTCTCATGGAAGTTTTTCATAACAATAATCTGTGATGTTTTCGGGAAAATCAAGAAACAAACGATATTGCTCTCTTTGTGTAATCAAAAAGAAAAATTAATTCAAGACAAAAAGTTCATATAAAATTAAGATGATTAAAAAAGATATAGCTCTCTAAAAATTACTGTGTTGCGATAGTATAAAAAAAAGTGTACATTTTACATACATATATACAATTATATCTGTTAACTGGACAATGTGAAATAACTAATGAAAATTATTGCAGCCGTATTTCCGTGATAAAGTCATGTTCTTTGTTCATCGTTTTGTTGCAACTTTAATGTTAAATTTAAAAGGACGATTTAATGGGGAGAGTCACGATTGGTGAAAATAAATGATTCTGACTGCGGGATCACAATGAGAATCCTCGAATATAATCAAAGGCATAATGCATTGCGTAATGCGCTTATTTTAAGAGCGCTCGTTTTAAGGTAAACCGATTCCGGGCTTTTAATTTTTTTTACCTTCATTCAGAATGCAGAGTGCTTTTTGCGAAAAAATATAAAAATTGACACAAATTGTTCAAATAACCAAAAGTTATTACTATTCATGAAAAACTGTGATATCTATATCTATCTCTCTCTCTCTCTCTCTCTCTCTATATATATATATATATATATATATATATATATATCCGAGTAAAAAAAATAAAATTTAATACATTCGGACATGAACGAAAAATTTGTCACTGTCTGAAAAAATTGGAGAAAAGAAGATTTAAATGGTCGGCGATCCTGATTACGGTTCGCTCTCATTATACATTATATAGAAACGAGGCGCTCGTATCGTGAAGGAGTTTCACGTTTGGCGCGAATGCTGAAACGTTCTAAAGAGTTGAAATTACGGGTCTTTAAAATGGCCTTAAGAGACCTGAATTCTTTTCTAAATAGATTGTCTGCCCGCCGCTGCAGCTCCGTCGGTTGTTACTTATTACCCCAACCCGTTAATTTCCAACTGAAAGCTGGAAACAAGATGGCAAAATCTTAGGCCTGAAAGATTGTCTGCTATTGTGAACGATTGAGAATTACGATCGTCGTGAGTATCCAGAGTGAGACTCGACGATCCGAACATTTCCCAATTATAGCTATTATTTCCAAGTGCCTGTAAACGTCATTTTATGGCTGTATCAGCTGATTTTATTTTTGCGAGACACATAAAAATATCAGTGTGCTGCAATAATATTCTAAAAATCAATATGATATTTTAGAGAGATATATCAATATGCGTGAAAGTTTGCACATTATTGAGAATATTGAATATGAGCGAAGAAAAAACAGAAATATGCACACGTGTTTAGAAGCGTGTTAGAAATTATTTACGCTTATAAACGTGTAATTGAGATATAATAATCTATTAAGATTAGATTCATCATTATCGCACACTTATGTTTAACGCTTCCTCTCGTAAACTTTCTTTTTTTTTAACGTGAACTTTCCATAACTCGATATGTAACCAGCGGCGATGAGCAATCTCAGTCTTATAAGAGTGCTGAAGTGCGACGCGTCGAAACGTAACGCATTCCAATTAATTAATTTTCGTTTTCGCGCGCTGCCCCGTTTATCATACGAGCCGCGATACTTTTCCGGCACGCGCAAAGTGAAAGCCATTATATTATTTGACCGACCGCGAAAAATGTCAATCTATTCGCGAAAGTCGCCCGCGCCTCGTATCTCTTCTCGTTTGACATAACAACCAGACCCGATTCTGAATATAAATTCAGGTATAAGAGAGTCAGACACATGCATCGATGTTAGGTGCCACAAAATTTTTTTAAATTCCTCTATATTCTCTTATTTTGTTTCGAATATTTTAACATCTTCAACATAAATGTATAGAGAAATTGAAAAATTATTATTTTATACCTGTTTCGTTCAATAAATATCTTGTTCGAAATAAATTATTAGCCCTATTAAAATCCTTTTTAAATTTATTACTTCACAGAAAAAAAGGAATCCTTGATTCAAGTATATTTTTATTCTTAAACGCTATTTGATTGATTTAAGCATAGAATGCTCTTTGTAATCACAAATTTTCATTTGCCTTAATAATAAATAAGTTTGTGTGAAGTATATTTTATCCTTAAGATATATTCTTGTTTTAAAAATCGCATATGGTAAAAACAAACTTAGTCACATTTGAACTAAGAATTATTATATATACTTGAAAGTACCGCTTATATCCGATGCTCACTTGTCACTTGTCCTTGCAATATTTATAAGTAAATTTCAGCTTCAACCAAGAATATTTTGCACTTTGTTTTAAGGATAAATTATCCTTTATCCAAAATTATTTATATTATAAGAATAAAATATACATGAATCAAGGCATATTTGCATTCTTTCAAGGATACTGTTTTTTCCGTGTTTGTATGTATAGGTAATATAAATTCGTGGAAGTTGTCTTCTCCTTGATCGAAACACCAAGCCAGTCTGCGCGAGTGTTAATTGTCTCATTAATCATGAAATTACTTAATGAGCAGCGAGCGACGTGTCAACCCTTTTTTTCGTCACTCCTTTCAACAATCGGGGCTTCGTTCGCAGCGATCGAAGAAACGAATTCTGTAATTACCGCGCAATTATCCGCCGATCCCTTCGACTCAGCTCGTGATCTCGCTGAATCCTACGGAATAATTATTAACCCATTGTTTTCTCCCTCTCTCTCGTCGAGAAAATGCGATATTTCTACGGCTCCGATCGAGGACCGTAATCACGCAATTGCGATTTTTATGCTTTTGGAATCGCGTTTCAGAATTCAGTTCCGCGTCCCCATTTTGAATTATTGAGCGATTTTCACGGATCGATGGAGTATCGATTGGCTAGCTCGCATGGTCAATATTCAGGGATATACCTCTGTGATAAAGCGACTTTCTCGGCTACGTGCAGATCCGATATATCCGTGAATCGAATCGAAATGGAGGCGCCGCGATTTGTGCTCCATTTGAATGGGGGTCGCGACACGTGGAATTATTAGAATTACTTAATCGACGAAGATTATTTATTCAAATAGCTCGATCTGCACGCATTCGAAACGATTACGCAGATCAAAGATCATTTAGCGACTCGTTATAATATATCGCTTTGATTGAAACTGCGATTATTCGCGTTACGTAATTACAGAATATGAATAATACTCAAGGCGTTAAAAATCACATACATATATAATATTTTCTCGTATCAAATACTTACCTAAGACACATCTATAACATCAATCTATATATAATTTTACTCTTTGATTTATCATATACACATTTTTTCGAATTTTTCTTTCTTTATATTCTTCATTCTTTTTTTATTTTGTTGTACACTGAAACAAAAAATTTAGTTAATAATATTTATTTGATATAAGAAAATCCTTTTCAAAGCAAATAAATATTTATTTGTTTCTAATAAATGATTTATTTGACAGTATTGAACTAAATATGTATTAATTTAGTATTTTTGTTTCAATATATATATATATTTATTTATTTTAAGAAGCATATTACATAGCTAGATAATTTTTGTTCTTTCTGTTAATCTCTCTTTCATTTAGATTATCATTCTATATAAATAAGTTAATTATTATCTGCCGTAAAATTTGTATGTAATTATGAGATACATTATTTTCGCCAAGCTTATTTACTTTCTCTCTTTCTCTCTCTCCATCTACTTATCTATCTATCTATCTATCTCATCTATATATATTACATATTTATTTATTCAAATCAGAAATTGCAATATCTCGTGCGACGTAGTCGCTGCATGCAGGCTTACGTATTCCATCTCGATATATTCCTGCCAGCTCAATTTTCGCGAAGAATACTCTTCTCTCGCCTAGGGTGACGACCCCCGAACACGCACGCATACATATACGCACACGCGTCGAAGTCTCCGCAACATTGCGTTTGCAAAACGACGCCGCGACCTCGCGCCGTGACGGCGGCGCGTCGCTGAGCGCGCGTTCTGCGCTTTTGCACCAATTTTTACATAACACGAGGATGTGAAACTAGAGAAATTTTATTCATGAAATAGCGCGCGAGCGGCGCACAAGCACGAGATCCATGGGAAAAATTTCTTCCTACGTAATATAATATGTGATGGCGTCTGCATTACCGAGACTCATCTTGGATAAAGTAGCATCTTATCATCAGCCCGAATCGACCCGGTCACTGATTCGGTATGTCACAATTTGTGTGAAAAGCAGAGCTAATAGTCGATCGGTTCAGATATAAATTTCCGAAACCGTGTGTACACTGTAAAAAAATATGTAATATTATAATAATGTAATATTACATTAAAAATATGTAACATTAAATACGTAACGTTAAATAATAAATGTAAAAGTACACGATAAATAATGAAAAACTATACATTTTTTCATCATTTATCGCGTAATTTTACACTTATTATTTATGTAATTTTACAAATTTTTATGTAATATTATTACATATTTTTTACGGTGTAAAATATCCTTTTAAATTAATTATTACTGATCCGGTA